TCCTTTGTGTTTGTTTTGTAGAATCGAGAACTTCGGTCTTTGCTGTAAATATATTTACAAGTATTACATCTCCTTGATGAATTATTCCCTTTTTTAATATGTAGTCATCTTTGAAAAATGCTGACTAATTTTGGTGCAAAGTTTACCTTGTCAGACACTGGAAGAACTGTCAGCTTCCGGACTGTTTCATCTCACTCAGTAGACTGTGCCCCATCCTTGGTTTCATGAAGGACGTGGGCGTTTGTTTGTTTGTTTAAGAAACAGACCATTAGATTTAGGTTGTTTTTTTTTAAGATTTATTTATTTATTATGTTTGGTTTTTTTTTTGAAGATTTATTTATTTATTATGTATAGTGTTGAGTGTTCTGTTTGCATGTTTGCCTGCACGCCAGAAGAGGGCATCAGATTTTATTATAGTTGGTTGTGAGTCACCATGTGGTCACTGGGAATTGAACTCAGGCCCTCTGGAAGACCAGTCAATGCTCTTAACCTTTGAGCCATCTTTCCAGCCCTAGATCTAGTTTTTAAAACCACTAAGCCAGTCTGTGTCTCATTATTGTTGAATTGAAGCCAGTTATATTTAAGGTCGTAATAGAGTGACCTGTAACTGAGTCCTGTAATTTTAAGGTTGTTTTTGTGGTTGGTTGGATTGCTGTTTGTTCTTTTCTTTTCCTGTTCGTATCAGGATCTCCCTAGTTACCATGTTGGACATGATGGATTCCTTCCTAGCTCTCCTTTGTTCATCTAGTTCTCTCTTGACAATATTCTTTCCTGTGCTCTTGAGACAGGGTTTCTCTGTCTAATAGCCCTAGCAACCTGGAACTAGCTCTGTATACCAAGCTGGCCTCAAATTTACAGAGATCTCGCTGCCTCAGACTCCCAAGTGCTGGGATTATAGGCATGTACCACCCCCTCCCAGCTTTTCCTATGCTCTTATGAGTGACTCTCTTTCCACCTCTTATGTAAGGTGTTCCTTGAAGCATCTTCTGTAACACTGTCTTGATGATTGTGAATTGCTTGTACGGAAATGTCCTTATTTCTTCACCAGTGTAAACATAGATGACATGGGATGCCAGCTGGCGGTTCTCCACCCATACATTTGTTAATTTAGGTGAAGTGGGCCAGTTACTTTAAGATACAAACTATCAAAACTTAGAGAGAAATTAGTTGTCCAGATAGTCCTGTATCTCTTAAAGAAATTGAGCTTTAAGTTAAAAGCATTCAGCGAAGAGTTCGATCCCAGTAGTTCCACTGTTAACTTCTGTCACACATTCAACCAGTGTCTGGTGAAAAATTGAAGAGGAAGGAACATCCCACAGTTTCAGCATACACGGGGCCAGCAGTGCTGTGTTACCAAAACCAGATGTGGACGATGACAGAATAGAACTGAGTATTGTTAGTGTTCTAGTTTCATTTCCATTGCTGCGATCAACCACCCTGACCAAAAGTAGCTTGGGTGGGGGGAGTAATTTGGCTTCCACCTCGAATAGCTGTTCACATAAAATCCATGTTCAGGAGCTGAGAGAAATGAAGTAGCCGTGCTGTCTCTTCTCATCTGACTTTGTACTGCTTTCTTTAGTTCAGGTACCCAGCCTAGGGAATGGTACTGCCCACAGTGGACTGATGGTCGTTCTGGTGGAGGTGTGTGTTGCTGGGGATTGAATCTTCAGTTTTGAAAATGCTAGGCAAGCACTGTACCACTGAGTTTATGTCCAGTTCTAGTTGCCAATCTGTCCCAAATGATTTCAAGTCTTTAGTCTGACATCTTCATGAATCCACAAAATCAGAAAATGTCACTTAAATGTGACTTCTCATATCTCTTATAGATACCAGTACCACCTAGGTTGGTAGGAGAGAACTTAAGAGATTCCTGAAGCTAATGTCCCTTGGTGGGTCAACAGATTTTGCTTTCCCCCACCACTTTGTGTGTTAGTACATGTGCACAACATGTGTCTAGAGACCAAAGGACAATCTCGGGTATTGTTTCTTAGGCATCCCTTTTTCATTGGGAAAGGATCTGTCCCTGGCTTACAGTGTACAGTTAGGCTAGGTTGGCTGGTCACTGAGTCCCAGGGATCTGCCTGTTTCCTTTGCCCTGTGCTGGAATTGGAAGCACACCTTACCAGACTGGCTCTTTGGCATGGCTTCTAGGGAGTGAGTCTAGGTCCTCATGCATGCATCCAAGCATTTTACTGACTGAGTTCTTTCTGTAACCCAGAAAACTTTTCCTAGAAGTCCAGGGTATAAAAATGTAGGTGCTTGGGGCTGGGAGAGAAAGTCAAGGCTCTAGTGTAGTTACTTATATATACATGTACAATGTAAGGTAAACCTGGTTTGATGGTGTCAGGTAGAGGATGAGGTATAAGGTGGAGCCAGGAGGATCAGAGGATCAGAAGTTCAAGGCCAGCTTGGGCTGCAATCAACTATTCAGGAGCTGAGGCAGCAAGATCACATGAACCTAGGATATTGAGATTAGTCGGTCCAACATAGCAGAGCCACAGTTCAAACATGTAAATAGACACAATAAGACCATTTATAAATATAATTATTGCCACGTACAATGACATATCCCTGGAACCCCAGTGCTAGGGGCATAAACAGCCTGATAGCTGATCAGCCTGACTAAAATGGGAAGTTGCAGATTCGGCGAGAGATCCTTTCTCAAAAAATAAGTGGTTGAAGAAGGTACCTGACATCCACTTCTGACCTCCACAGACATGGAATAGGTAAGCACATTTGCATACACATATGCACACGTGCATACAGCACAGGTGCACATATTATATTTTGCCTAGTCCTTGTTTTAGATTAGTAAGACTTAATTCTTTGATTAGAATCTATTCTATTCAGAAAGTCTTTCTTTCTCTTCCTTTTTCTCTTTTCTCTTTTTCTTTCCTTTTTTTTTTTTTTTTAAGACAGAGTTTCTCTCTATAGCCTTGACTGTCCCGGAACTTGCTCTGTAGACCAAGCTGGCTTCAAACTCAGATCTGCCTTCTTCTTCCCGAGTGTTGTGATTAAAGGTTTGCACCACCATGGCCAGGCTTTTGTTATTCTCCCCCGCCCCATAGCCCCAGTTTAGGACAAAACCCAGGGCCTTGCTCAAGCTAAATCCCCAACTCCTCTTCTTCTTCTTTTTTTTTTTTTTAAAAAAAAACTTTATTTAACTTTATTTCATGCACGTTGGTATAATGATGTCAGATTCTCTTGAACTGGATTTACAGACAGCTGCGAGCTGCCATGTGGGTGCTGGGAATTGAACCCAGGTCCTCTGGAGGAGCAGTCAGTGCTCTTAACCACTGAGCCATCTCACCAGCCCCCCAACTCCTCTTCTTTATTATTATTTTTCTTCTTCAGCTTTTCATTTTCTTCTGTATTTTGGGAGACCACCACAAGTTCACCTTAAAACATTTCTATTTGAGTCCAACAGCCCTTGCTCTCTGGAAACTCTCATTCTCTAGTGTACTGGTTTGCATTTGTTTTATGCTTGTAAGTGTCCTACACATCTCTAAGGATGCTGCTTCTAGTTTTCTTTTGTTACCTCATCTACTTCCTTCCCTTTGGGAAGCATCTATGATTTATTTCTACTTTTATTATTTTACTTACGTGGATGTGGGTGAGCCTGTGTACGTTTGTGTATACCACGCAGTAGCCTGCAAGGCCAGAAGAGGGTGCTGTATCCATGGAACTGGAGTTACGGCAGTTGTAAGTTGCCACGTGTTGCCGGAAACTGAACTGGAGTCCTGGCAGAGCATCGAGTGCTCTCAACCACTGAAGCACTTTCCAGCCCCTAACAGCTATGATTTCTGATGACCTCATCATACTTAGCAGTTATAAAATGAAAAACTTCACATTGCTTTTGTATATAAAATGCATATACATTCAGAGATTACATTTTATGGTTTTGGTTGCTGTTTATATTTTGTGAGCTGACTACCTTTCTGAAATCAGATACAAAGAGAGCTCAAGTCGTGTGTGTGTGTGTGTGTGTGTGTGTGTGTGTGTTTGTGTATGTGTAGCTGTGTGACCATCCAGAGGTAAGGATATTACATGAAACACGCTCTTATTTGTAGAAGGGGCCCCCTTCATTTTTAATACTTTGTTCTTTGACTGTTGTGATGGTTATTTTTGCCAACTTAATACAACGTAAAGTCTGCCACACAGTGGTGACACACACCTTTCTTTCATCCCAGCACTTGGGGGCAGAATCAGGAGGACCACTGAGTTTGAGGCCAGACTGGCCTATGGAGTGAGTTCTAGAATAGCCAAGGATTCACAGAGAAACTCTGTCTCTAAGCACCCACCCCCATACAATCTAAAGTCACTTGGGAAGGGGTCTCAATGAGAGATTATCTAGATTGGGTTGGCTTGTGGGCATGTTTGTGGGAGATTGTCTTGATGATTGATTGATTCAGGAAGATTCATCCCACTGTGAGTGTCATCGTGTCCTATAAAGGGATCCTAGTCTGTGTAAGTATAGTGTCCAGGACGTCATGCTTGCATAGCGAGTACTGTATCCACTGAACTCCTTTAAATACATTTTTTGTTTGCTTTTTGAGACAGAGTCTCACTGTGTAGCCCCGGTTGGCCTGGGACTTATCTTGTATACCAGGCCAGCCAAGAACTCACAAAGATTTGTGTGCCTCTGCTCCAGAGTGTTGGGGTTAAAGGTATGCACCATCATGCCCTGCCTAAATGTATTTTTATATAACATCACCTCTGGTTTATTAAAAAAAATAGTTTTGTTTATGTTTGATATTAAGTAGATTTTAACTATTGGAATATTTCAGCAAAAATGGAAGACATTAGCTTTGAAAAATTCTACATATTGTTGCAACAACAAAAGTGTTTGAACTCAGGAGACCATGGGTGACGTGAGTCCGGCCTATCTGTGTAATTTAACTGCATAACTGGGTTACCAAGCTGCCACATTTTGAAGATGTTTCTTGGCTTCTGTGGCTCGATATCCGTGGTGCTAAAGAAAGACTGTTTCTTTCACTTAGGTCCTTCCACAGCAGCACCGGCTTCTTTTCGAAGTGTTTGATGAAAATCGGTTGGTAAGTCGAGTCATGCTGCATGAGTGTGAAGGATGCAGGAGAGTGGTGGGAGAGGAGGGTTCAGGAGCCTGGGAACCGAGAGGTGGAAGGGCTGCTTATGGAGATGCAGTGTTTTTCTTTCCTCTTTCCTGGAGTTGATCCTTCCATTCCACTCTGTTCCTAAGCTGCTCTCTTGGCTGTCTAGACTGTAAAGTTTCTCTCACAGCCTGTGTGGCAGAAGACGGAGGAGGGGAAGCCCCTCTTCTGTTTTCCATGCCACGTCTGCTGTTTCCTACACTCTCCGCAGTTGTATATACGTGCACAGTGTTACAGTGCCCTGTTCCCCCCACCCCCCTGTGTGTGAGTGAGTGTGTGTCCCCTCCAGTTTCAGTGGAGGTCATAGAACAACCTCCGCTGTCAGTCCTTAGGAGCCACACAACTTTTTTATTTTGAGACAGGGTCCTATAGGCTTGGAGCTTTGCTAGGTAGACAAGGCTAGCTATACTTCTGAGTGTCCTGAAACTTGCCCAGTTCCACCTCCTATCTTCCAGTGCTAGATTTACAAGTGTGCACCACTGCACCCATCCTTTTATACAGGCACTGGGACTAAAATGCAGCTCCGATGGTAATTTTTCTGGAGTTTACCTGTTGTAAGAAGGCCACTTGTTGGTTCCCGGCTGCTCAGCAGCTCAGTCCTGAAGTAACCACACAGAAACTATATTATTTATACGATTAGCTCTAACTTCTTATTAGCTAACTCTTACATCTTAATTTAACTCATTTCTAGTAATCTGTGTATCACCAGGTGTCTGGCTTATTGGCTTCTGTGTCCATGGGGACTACATATCTTCACCCTGACTCCGCCCTTCTTCCTCCCAGCGTCCAGTTTAGTTTTCCCCGCCTGGCTAAACTCTGCCCTGCTATAGGTCCAGAGCAGTTTCTTTATTCATTAATGGTAATCACAGCATGCAGAGGAGACTCTATCCCTCTCTCATCCCACTTTTCTGCAAGCCTGTGCACACTGAGAGGATGGGCTCCATTCCCAAAGCCAAAGCAGAGCCAGACCTTACTGCCCTTGTTCTTTTGTTTTTGAGACAGAGTCTCCCTAAGTGTCCCTGGCTGTCCTGGAACTCACTCTGTAGATTAGGCTAGCCATGAATTTGCAATGACTCTCCTATTTGTGCCTTCTAAGTGCTGGATTATAGGCCTGAATCTCCGTGCTTAGCCTGGTTTCAGTTTTGTAAAATGATCACTCTGCCTCCTGCCTTCCTGAGAAAACATCTGGAAGCTCTGTAACTTTCCTGCTTTTCCCTCTTTAGGACGCCTTTTCAGACCTTCCCCCGGGTGACTTACATTTATATTTTATACCTGTAAGGTCTGAACATGTGGATTGTGTTAGTTAGCTTTCCAGCTCATTGACAAAATATCTGAGAAAATCTACCGAAAGGAGCACAGGCTTATTCGGCTCATGCTTTTAGGGGTTTTAGTCCATGGGCCCTTAGGACTGCTTGGGGGCCTGGGATGAGAGGGAGCATCATGGGAGAAATGTCTGCTAGAACAGAATGGCTCGCTTTCTTGGGGGTGAGATGAGGGATGGGGGCAGGGTCACTTTCCTAATGGAGTCCCTACCTCCAAACCCAACTGTGAATGTGTAAATGAATCCATTGATGAGATCAGTGCTCTTGTGATGCTCCGGTCACATCCCGGCTCACAGCACTGGTGCGCATGCTCCGGTCACATCCCGGCTCACAGCACTGGTGCAGAAGATCCATCTTTTGCACATGAACTTTCGACACACTTCAGATGTGAACCTTAACACACATAAAAGTAGGGTCAAGTAGTCAGTCTGTTTTGGTTATTATATAAACACCAAAAGAGGAATTAAATAATCTGACTCACTTTTTTTTAACTAACAAAGGACGTGAGAAATGGAATAGTGTTTAAAAAGCCGGCTGTAGTCGTGAGAGCCAGAGTGTGGATCTCAGTACCAGGATAGCAGACCAGGGTCCTGCAGATGCCGTGCGGAGGCCAGTACCCTACTCAGAGGGGAGTGGAGACAGGAGGATTGCTGCTGATGGCTGACTTCAAGTCTGCCAGCGAAGCCATGAGACCTGGACTAGGGAGGAGACTCTCCTTACAGGAATAAGTGGAGGATGATAGAGGACACCCACTCTTCTGTGTGTATCTGCACATACATGTATCATTAACGCACGTAGACACACGTATACAAATAAATAATTTTTAAGTGAAACTGCTTTTTAAAAAATAAGCTATTATATGGCGTAACATTTTTTTTCTTTTCAAGAAATTATAATTGAATCTTGTTTCGAATTGCTTTCCTTGTTACTGATTGATAGGCGTCCTTGGTGTCTTCTTGTGCTCAGATCTGAGTGAGTCTCTAGGTTGGGGATTTGGGAGCTGAATTTCTGGTTACTTTGACATCACTGTTCCTTTCCCTGCTGGTTCATGCTGAAGTGACTCTCTGCCTGATCCTTGGGTATGTACTACATTATTTAAGTTATTTGGATGTCATCCATAAGGAAGGACAGATCCCGCTTTCCCATTTGCCTGGTTGTCTAGTCCTTCCTTCCAGGGACTGTCATGGGGTGTGACTGTTTCTTCACTCCCAACATCACTGTTTGTCAAACACTTTCTGTGTGGTGCTGTACTGTGTGCCGTGCAGAGCTGGGAGGAGAAAACACCTTTAGTATTAGTGATTAAACACTTCTAGGTGATAAATGTGGCACTTAATTTGAAAAATGTTTTTATTCTTTTAATTATGTGTGTTTGTACAGCTGTGTGCAGTGTCCTCAGAGGGCAGAAGAGGGCATTAGATCCCCCTGAGGCAGGAGTTACAGTCAGTTGTGAGCTGCCCAGCATTGATGCTGGGAACTGAACCCTGGTTCTCTGCAAAAGCAGTGTACAGTCTTAAATGCTGCATTATCTCCCCAGCCAGCTCCAAATAATTAAGAAATTTAAGGTAAGGGGCTGGAGAGATGGCTCAGAGGTTAAGAACACAGGCTGTTCTTCCAGAGGTCCTGAGTTCAATTCCCAGCAGCCATATGGTGGCTAACAACCATCTGTAATGAGTTCTGGTGCCCTCTTGTGGGCTGAACGCTATATACATAATACATACATAATATACACAATAAATATACTGTATATATAATAAATAAATCTTTTAAAAAAATTAAGGTGAAACCAAAGCCATGTATTAATAAGGATGTAATGGATCCCACTCCAAGAACTCTGGAGTACCATTAGTCTTGACTCTGATTGAGACATTAGTGGTAACCCCAGACAAATCAGAAAGTGTTCCCTTTGGAAAATTAAGATCCAGAAACAGGATATGGAAGTGCATGCCCGTCATCCCAACTTTTGGGAAGCATAGGCAGGAGGATATAAATTTCAAGATTATCCTCAGCTACATAGGGAACCATGGAATGAGCTTGGGCCCATAGGAGATCCTGCCTTCAAAAAAACCAAAATTTCAGAATCATTTAAAATAAAAATGTAGAAGTCAGTATTTGCCCTGCCTGTCTCACATAAGATAATGGCTCTAAAAATACTCAAAAAAATCTCTTTTTCCCCCTAGACAAGATCTCACTATGTACCTCTCAGTATCCTGGAACTCATTATGTAAATCAGACTAGCCTCGAACTCACAAACATCTGCCTGTCTCTGCCTCCCCAACAAGTGTTGGGATTAAAGACATGTATTAATAGTCCCAGCTGTTGCAGTTTAATTTAACTTACTTACTGAGGCAGGGTTTCGTGTATCTATCCCAGGCTGACTTCAAACTCCTTTGGTATCTGAGGATGATCTTAAACTTCTGCTCCTCCTGTCTCCACCTTCCCAGCGCTGGGATTATAGGTGGCATTTGTGGAGTTGCAGATCAAATTCTGGGCTTCTTGCATGTTACACAAGGAATCCACCAGCTAAGTCACATCTCCAGCCTCAGAAATTTCTTCATGATGGTACAGATTTAAAATGTCACTTAACATTTAGCATGATGCCTTGCTTTTGTGTTGTGTATCTGTGGTGTCGATCCTCATGTGTGCTGAAAATAGATATTTCTCGAGAAGTGAATGTGAGCATCTCTCAGGGCCAGAAAAAAAAAAAAACTAGTGTGTTGTGCTGAGCATCACCCACTCCTCAGCACACAACTGAAGCTCAGACATCACCTACAGTACCGTGGGAGCCATAGCCACCAGGCTGGGCATCCGGCAACAGACCTTCACCACTGTAAACGTCAGTCCTTGAAACTGACTGGCTCAGCAGATCTCTTTGGAAAAGTAGGGTGGAGAGCACAAGTGTAATCTTAAGTAGAAATAATTTCCAGTCGTCTGGAAAATCTTTCCTAAATCATACATGATACTTGCTTTTGAGAAAAAAACAGGGCTACATTCCTTCAGATAGATAGATGATAGATAGATAGATAGATAGATAGATAGATAGATAGATAGATAGATAGATAGATAGATAGATAG